AATTTCCTCCAGGGCATGACCTCTCCTACTCTGTTTAAACGACCGATACACAGGCAGGTGGGCACTGGGGAGAGGGGGAAAGTAATATTATGTCCACCTCACGGTCGCGGAAAAAATATACATCTGATAATTTACAGTTACAAGAAAATCTGAAAAATTCCGAAATAAAAAATCCACTAAATTTCCCATCATCATGATTTTTTTCGCAAACTTATGGCCAGATAAGTACACCAAGGATAATAATATTATCATAATATTCTCGAATTTTCCCGAGCACCCTTGAATCAGATGTCAGTACCATTAATAGGGTCAGCAACACCTGACCGAACTGCCATAAATTTAACCTACACATTTCTCCTCTTATGCCGGTCCAGATACCTCACCAAGTGTTCCAAACAAGCTCAGTGGGTCTAAGGCCGGTCACAACGCCAGATCATGTTGCAACTTGTTACCGTAACTTGGAATACTTTGGTGCCCACTACTAGCATAGTTAGCCGACTTTGCTCCCAGAAAAGGAGTCACGACGACGAAAAACGCCGGTATCCAAAACATTCCGGCGTACGCAAGGTCCACGTCGACAAGCAACTGCTCAGTGTCTTTCACATAGCTGTTAATGTGCGATTGTTGTTCAGTCATGATCTCCTTAATAAGGAGTTCTTTTTGACTCCTTTCAGTGGGAATTTTTCCTGACCTTTCAGGAAATCACCAGTTTCTCGGTAGATTATATGAGGCTCAGTATTACGGATCCACACTGGAGGAGTATTCGAGTCGACACTGACGGCGTTGGCCGCAAGAACGGTGGAGCTGGGGAGGCAATTTAAAGGTAAAGTCCCCACTTCAAAGACCAATGGCATGATCCAATCTAGACCGGTCTCTCGTAGAACTCCGCAGATTCTTGACCATGGTGCGCCAACTCCTACGCGGATTAGAGTTTCTCTTCGACCATTGATGACAAGATTGCTAGAGAAAGCCTGAACGTGGCTGACCTGAGCTGTCACATCACAAATCAGCATATATCCATCCAAGATGGATATATGCTGATGGACCATCCTGGCATGGAGGAGTGTGACATAGAATGATCTTTGGTACTGCTGAGCGAAGGCGATACTAATACGGTGTACGTTGTAATATCGCAATATATCGCTGACTTCTTCCTCGTGAATAGCAATGACGCGGTTCTCATCCGGAACAAGACTAAAGTTGAAGCCTGGAGTGAAAGCCGTTTTCCCCGAATTTAGCTGCGTTGTCAGCTTGAACTTGATGCGATTGGCAAGATTGGGTTGGCCAGGCCAACCCAACTGAAACTTTCAACTTGAAAGGCTCCATTTTCATCATAAAAACCACCACCAGCTTCGTGAAGTGCCCCCTCAATCCCAAGTACGTGCTGAGAGAATTGATGACTCTTTCGCAGTGACTGTATCGCCAGCTTACCGATGGCAGCTGAATCACACTCCTTAGGAATACTCATACGAGTAGGTACACCAACATTGGAAACAGAATCTACTGGACGTACTCCTTGCACTGAGACCCTGGTCGGAACGAGTGCCCCAGGAGTCATAACGAAGGCTTCGGGCCGTGGAACCGCTTGCTGATAAGGTGCTGAAGTCGCCAATGTCGGCTGACTACAGGGCGGGGGAAGGATAGCTCCATAGACAGGTACTTTGCTACCATTGTCGACCCGAGGAAATATGACTTGCTGATCTCGTTGTCCACGACCTGAAGGAACACACGGGTGTGTGCTCGATAATCTGGCATTGTTCAGTGGATGATGCCCGTTCAAGCTAAGCGTATAGTTTGAAAACTCCGAAGGAAGAGCACCGACAACAGAGGGTAACGTCTTCGACCGGCCCAAAATCTGGGAGTTCTTTTCGGTGAGCTGAGCTCATCATACCGTAGCTCAAGAGCTACCACATAAGCACCCTGTGTAGTAATGGTCGCAGCTCCTTCCCCGTTAATTGACGACTGGGTACTAGACATAGGGTTGAAGTGGAAGTAGTAGTTAGTAGAAGAATAGCGAGTCAAGGTTGAGAGAAGTTAAAGAGTCAGAGCGACACAATAGCGGAAATCGATCGTCCAATCCCTTCATGAGGGTTTTCCTCATGAACGGACAGCGATTGTGTTACTATCCACGTGAGATTCGAATCGAATCTTCGATAGTATGGTCAACGTGGGGTGTCAGAGGAGATGGGACAGTTGTGTTACCGAGCGGGAGTTTCGCTACACCTGCTCCTCTAGTGCCAACCGGAGATCTCTCTCTCGATCAGCAAGGACATCATGTACTTGAACATCATCTTCGGAGGACACAATGAGGTTGTTCAGTTGCTCAGTAGTGTCTCGCAACTGTGATCGAAGTCGCCCCCTGTACACTGTACAGTGTACAGCCTCGCCTTACGCAGCTCTCCTTGTAAGGATCCTGGGGAGTGGAACTCCGCAGCAGAATCGACACAGGACTGCCTTCGGAGAGCAGGTCGTGGGGATTGAACTGGATTTTCTCCTCCGTTTGAAGCTTCTATGACTGGGTTAGACGCAGATGTAGGTGTCGCCATGATGGGGAACGCCCCAGGACTTGGAACACAAAGGCCCTTTGGCGCAAGAAGAGTCAAACTACGAACGGGTGTTTAGTTTATATTCAGTAGTCGACAGGTCAGTCTCATCGATATATCCGTTATCGAAAGCAATAGTAACAGTATTGGGCGAGCGAGACCTCACTATGACTCCAGAGAAACATTGTCGTTTACGCAACACGATATAGGCAACGGATATGCGTTGACCAATGGCAGCGCCATCACCTCGTCCGAGAAACCTAGTAAGAAGAGATTACCGTTATGTATGGCGAAGGCAGTTCATAGTACTCTAGTAGTAATAAGGTGTCGATTCCAATGAACTATGCTGTAACATCATCGACGCTAAGAAAGAATTAAGTCAAAAAGCCTCTCCTCGGGTCGATCGGAGCCTCCGATTCGGAGGTAGTAGTGGGGAGTCCCCGTCAAGTTGACGGATCAACGCCCACATCGCGGACGCTTCGCAGGTTCTCCACTGATTTGTCCGGGGTAATTCGCGGTGTGTTTTTAATTCCCTTCGTGAATATCGCGTTTTTTGCATGGAGCATTACTTCTTAGGAAGCGTAGAACGGGCGGGTGAAACTCCAATGATGGAGAGGGGTATCCATCGAATTATCATTAATTAATACCCTCAACTGTTTTTGAGAACTACCCTCTAAGATAAAACGAGACTCGGACTTTTATGGGTTCGCTAACGCCAATAATTCAATTGCTGGCATAGAACTCGTAGATCCACAGAATTGTGGCATCAGACTCCGGAACTTAACGCCAGTACATCAATCGCAAATCAAGACGAAAATATCAAGATGAAAATATCAAGATGAAAATAATACACGGAAGGATAGGAGTAGTATAACAGATGTCCAGATCAACTGTAGACCAGAACTGTCAGAATGCTGAAGATCCACCTCGTCCAGAACCCTACTCCTCAAGAGAATATTCGTTAAGTATTCTTAGAAAGGGGACAGATAGACAACTGCAGCTCATGGTGAGCTGCTCACCAAGACCGTTCACATGGTGCGAATCTTCCACAACTTGTGGCTTATGCTTTTAGGGGCATGAACAGTGGCCAAAACAGCGACAGGGCCCCCAGCAAGACCAGCAAGGATCATTGAGGACCCTCAAAACTGAGGAAGGCCTATTCTCCGATTTGTCAGCCGAGTCGTCACCAACAATGATGTGGCCGAACGCCATGATGAAGTACAGGATGCAGAAGAGTTTCATTTTTATTGTCTTCGTGAAGACGAGAACACTGAAACTTGATTTTCACGCTGCTGACACAATTTCACAGCATCTTCCGAGATCTGTACATATGAAGCCAGAAGCGTTACGAAGACACGTAACAAGCTAGCTTGAAGTTTGTAACTTACTCTGGGAACCTTCAGAGGTAGAATGGCGGAGTATTCCTCCGGAAGTAATGAATGTGAATGCAGGGTGGTTCGGTTCTGGGATCGAATATCCCCCAGGAGGGAGAACAACTCCTTCTTGGGGGATATCCGAAAACGCTGAGGTGATATAGTGGAGTAAATTCACTTCTTCACGGAAGTGGAGCACTCCTGACGCAATTACTGCGTGCTTGCACACGTGAGCGTTATACGTCCCGTGGTGGTTACGCTGAGTAGGACTCTTTCCTACTTCAAGTGCTCTTGCTGACTTCTGTTACTGTTCGGTTGATGTCAGCAACTATGACAGTGTCACAATGACACGCCGTCTATCGGCTCGCATTATTGTCCCTACTCCTTCTCTCTTGATCGGTCTTAAAATGAGGTCCCCCATGGCCACATTTCAGAGGAGAGGGGAGGCTGGGCTATGTTGTCCTGGCTTTCCGAGGTTGGCTTATGTTATCTCGATTTTCGTTACCACTGTTCTTTGGTCGCTATTATTGTTATGGCCTCATTGTCTGTCGATGGAGTATGCAGGTTACGGCTGTTATTGCCCAACATATCAAGCTATGCACACGTGAGCGAGACGGAAAGGTGAGTGGCGGTCACGGAGTGGCGGAAAGGGCCACTCAACCAATAGCAACACTGGTTGAGTGGTTCTGGGAGTTTCGCTTGTTTGGAAGACTAATGGTGCATATCCAAGAGTAAGGGTCGCAACGTAGTGTTGCTATTCGGAGTCTCTCAGCCTGTCGTATCATTCATAGCTGACACGCTTCGCCATCATGGCGCCATATATGCCCAAAATTGCCCCCCGGCGCCATCATCCTGTCGCAGACGTGAATCAATTTACGACCTTCCGTATCACAGCCAGCGTATCTACCCACTAAACTACGAATCCAACTCATATTGGGCTTCAACAATATGGTTATCGACCGGCCATATTGTCATATTGTGCACGCGATGTGCTATTAGCATATTTGGGAGTTATTTAGTTGTGTGCTTACCGGGCTCCTATATTATTGTGGTAGAACGAGGATACGTAAGAATTTTAAGACATTTGCTTGTGTGCTTACCACATTTCTGTCATTTCGTACAAGTACAAAATGCTCCAATGGTAATCTTGATTGTGTAAAAACGTCCGCGCGTAGTGCAGTGGCCACCTGAAGCAGCTAGACCGCTAAGACATAGACCCAGTTCGCTGAAGAAGACAGATGGAGGTTCTTTGCTGTTTGTCATGACTGGGTGTATCCTCTTTTGCGATGACTCTATTTCTTAGTAAGAGAACATCTGAGCGAGGTAAAGTGAAATGATTCGCTGTTAGGTATGACTTGATGTATCATTTATTGTGACAATTCGGTTTCCAATTAGAATTCTTAGCTTAAAGTCTCTGATAACAGCATTGTATAGATGCTCGTCCCTAAATGAATCACTCCTGAAGTTCAGGCCCTGAACGTCTAAGTTAGACGGTCTAACCCGTAGACGAAAAATACGGACAAAATCACTCTTGGTCGGAAAGATCAGAGCACAAACGGCGAGGTCAGAGCATTTTTCAATGAAACCATTGTATACGGGAAGATGTCGTACGAAAAGAATCTGGCACGAAATTAACGATGGATCAAAAACTTCGGCATCGAACATACCTACTAGGTATTACCTAGGATGAACCGCTCATTTACGAATCGCGCTTCACCCGTATAGGTACTTGCCCTTCCCTCCTCCATGATCCTTGTACATCGTTATAGATACCTAAAACTGGTTCAACGGGGTTTGGTTTGGTGCTTGATTCAACGGGTGTGCACTCGCGTTGCGTGCACTGCCGCAATGCACGCAGTGGATAGCGGCATCTTTCGCGCATTTGCACGAGTGCAAATCGCTATTGCGCGTAAAGCACTTGACTCAACTGGAGCGGTCCTTAATGATGAGCAATACATGATTTAACAATCACGTTTTCTGCTCTAAGGCTGCGGCTGTAGACTCCGTCTTATGAGTCTACCTCGCTTGTGGCCTTCCTCAGTCTCTCCAGAGGCCACAAAACAACGGTTGGACAACGTACTTGAATTCTTGCGCGTGATTTCGCGCACTGCGTGAAGTGCGAAGTTGTTCGCGTACCTATGAACGAATCGTGCCGTTTGCGCACCTCGCTCGCGCATTCTTCGTTGCATGAAACAGCTCGCAGCCCTCAGGCTCAGAAGGATAAGATAAGAATCCGTATCACCTATTATGGCTATCCCGCCCGGTCGAGATTCGCTTCGTTCTCCCGGTCGGACCGGGGAAGCGAAGTGAATTCCGCACGTTCTGGCATCTTCTATCAGCGCATCTTCGGCTGGATTGCGCCCGATATCCTGTCGTATCCGTCGGTTTCTTATCTAAAGGTTTCAGATCGGAATTGCAGATCGAATCCGGACTCATTGGGCCTATAACCTAGGGACCTTAGTGATTTAAGGACCTAAACGGGATTTTTAAGGAAGTCCTAAACTTGAGTTGAAGGGAAGGAGCTTAAGGTCCTCAAGTGATCAGGACCTCTGAAAATGATCGAAAAGCATCGAAGGTGCTGAGACAGAACCCAGTGACATGGGCATGCCAGCATGTCGTCTTGAGTCAAGACGACATGCTGGCAAGACTCTTGACCTCCAGACAAGCAAGCGATTAGACTGTTAGTCACACAGTTACAGGATCTGGAGACTGTGCCTTGGGAAGGCACAAGTATACTGGGAGTAGAAGGAAACCCAGAAGAATGAGGACCACGTGGCAAGGATGAGAGCCCCTCTGCAGAAGAGGCCTTTTATGATACGAAAAAGAGTCGTCCTCAGTAGCGTCGCCTTCGTGACGAAGGCTTTGTCGTAATTACGATTGCGTGATGGTTTCCGAATCGGAGGAAATGAGGAAATCGGAAATTCCGATTTCCTCTTATCTTTCTTAAGCATGAAGAAGTGTACGTGATTAATCAGTTATAACGCGTTGTTCATGTTAACAGCAGGCATGCGTTTCTGATATCCAAAAAGTTTTGTTTTAGATAGTGTGGGTAGAACGCCTCAGGATCGAGCCTCCGCACACTTCTGTCGCTGTGTTCCGCTCTCGGAGGAGAAAGCGTGCGCCCGATGGTTAAGGGAGTATCTCTCAGGCTGGTTTAGGCTGGTCCGAACCAACCTAAATCACAGCTCCTTTTTAGAGCTAGCTCCTTTAAGGACCTCAGCTTGCGATGCAAACTTCCCTTCTCCTCAAGGTTCTAGCCCCTTTCCCTTAAAGACCTAACTCTTAGGTTCAGAAGTTAGGTCCTAGATCTAAAAGGTTTAGGTTCTGTGCCTAAGATACCCACTCAGCCATTCCCTAAGGGAATGGCTGAAGGGAAAGTTTAAGGGAATTTCCCTTAAACTTTCCGTGTATCTCCTTAAGGAAGTCCTTAAGGTAATACGGTTTAAGGTCTCTAAGTTATAGGCCCATTGAATTCGTCTAACCTCTGACTGGAACAATTCGGTACTTTCGGGATCTAGTGATCTGATTCCTACCAAGGCTTGTTGACCTTGATCTGTGGTCGCTTATTAACTATCTCTCGTCGTCTCGAGTCGAGACTCTCGACTATCCGCTACTCCCTAGGTATGGTATTGACTCATCTTGTCACCCTGAGTGAGTGGTAAGTATAGTTAAGGCTAGGTCTACTCGTTTTGACGATCCAGAGTCTGCTATGTCTAGAATTCTCAAGCCTAAAGGTAAGGCTAAGTCTAAGTCATCGACTTCGTATCGTATCCTATAATGCTGACGAGGCAGATGCTTCATCCGTTGATAGAAGCACCTCATTTCCTTCCTCAGTGAGGAAGGAAATGAATCCTCACCCCATCGTACTATCACTCAACGCTCACAGACCGTGAGTCACAGTGCGTCGCAGGGTGGCTGAAGCCTGAGGAAGAATCATTCTTCCCTTCCCCAATAATTCCCGTTTTAGTTCCCGGGAATAATGCCTGGTCAAAAAGGGGAATAGTTTTCTCGGCCTTACGGCCGAGAAAAAAAATACGAGCTTCCTCGTATCCTGTCACTTTTTTTGATATCGAACGTCAGGGCGAGCGCGTGCGAGATGTTCGCCATTCGCAAGTTGCAAAACAAGCCAGTAACTGGCCGCCAGTTACGTTGCTTTCATACCCCACTGGTCAAAAGGTCACCGTGAGATTCGGAATCCATGAGGCGTCGATCACTCTCCAGGTCGGAGTTCCTCAGGGGAGCCGTTTGGGACCCCTTTTGTTCACCGCAGGTGTAGTAAGTTTGATAGAAGATCTGCGTAAAATCGAAGGAGCGGATGTGGTGGTCACCGCGTACGCAGATGATCTGACAATCATACTTAGCGGCCCGAGCCGCAAGCACATTCGCGCACTGTGGGCAAAGGTGAAGAAGAAACTGAACAAGTGGTGCACCGCGAGCGGCCTCACTATCGATAGGGACAAGTCTTCATGCCTATCTCCACGGAGGCCCCCAATCTTATCTCTGAGGGGAGAGGCATTGAAGAGGAGTAAGGTAGTCCGGGTGCTAGGTGTGCATCTGGACCAGCGTATGAACTTCCGCTATCATGTGAAGAAGACATGCGAGGCCGCAGTGCAGAGGCTCGGACGCCTGCGACGTATAGGGATTGAGCGGGCTCGACTGGGTAGTCGCGGTATCATCGCCACATACGAGAAAGCAATTCTACCCTTTATTTCCTATGGGGTTCGGGCGTGGGAAACGGCTCTAGAGGAGGAATGGTGCCAGAACCTTCTAACTCGTGTGGCGGCATACGCTGCCAGACTGGCCACGAGGGCGCCTCGGCGGGCATCGAACGCGGCAACTGTTGCACTCTCTGGGCTTGTCCCTCCACATCTATTGCTGGCCGGTCTCGCTACTGCGGCAAGGGCAAGGCAAGACCACTCGTTGAGGATCAGCCAGCTGCTTGAGGGAGCCGTTCCGATGGGGAACCTGGCCGTAGAGAGGTGGCAACTACACCCACTGCCACCATGGGATGATGGGCTGGACATCGCAATACAAACTGAGAAAGCGGCCGTGGTTTTTGCCTGCTTAGCACCGAACGATCGGGCCATCTACACGGACGGATCGCTCACTCCTTCCATACACGCTGGCATGGCAATGGTCGTCTATTGCTGTGGTCAGCGGGCGCACCAGGAGTCCTACAGAGTTCCGTTGCACTGTACAGTAGCACAATGCGAGATGGCCGCCCTTGAAAGAGCAGTCGCTTACGCCAAGTCACACCAAGAGGATGCTCCGTACGGATAGGTTATCATAAGTGACTCGCAGTCGGCCTTGAGAACCCTGCAATCGAGGAGGCTGACGGAGCGCAATGCGATAGCACGCAGGATAATGTCTCACCTCACGGGTGCCGCGGTATGTCGCCGACCTCGGCTGAGATGGTGCCCTTCGCACGTTGGAATAATCGGCAACGAAACCGCAGACCATCTTTGCGGTACTGCTACAGCACTGTTCACGCAGTACGAAATAAAGTGTGCCAGCTCCTACGTGAAACGGGTTGTTCGAGAGAAGATACTAGACGCCTGCAACATCTGGTGGGAGTCTTGTAAAAACTCATTGGGCAGAACGATACAGGCGATATTCGCCAGTTTCTCGGCGACTCAGAAATTTGCCACACTTGGAACTAGTCCAACATTGATGGCGTTGGCCACTGGACAACTACCGACGCCACATTTACGCTGTATACAAAAGCTTAGGACAGACGCCAGCTGCGCCTGCGAGGCTGCTGACGGCAGCACACTTCACCTCGTCACGGAGTGCATGCTCCTCGAGGAGGCCAGAAGAGAGGCCGGACTGGGTATTATGCCTCATGTGAGCAGGCTCTTCACAGAAGGCGAGTATAGGAGTTCCTTATTGCTACTTAGCGTGTCGATACTGGAATTCTGTGACAGAATTTCTGTCTTGATCTTAGAGATTTTGAGTCTGTTTTGTAGTTTCAGGAACATTGAAATAGAGATTCCGAGAAGTCGCCGACCACACCCAGGAGTAATCCGTCGTTGGGGAAGATGCGATCAGACTAGGACGGCTGAATCAGGACAGACTGCTCAAGCCAATCGTTAGTCGAGATGTACCATATCGTCTTCGGACTGGATTGCAATAGGATGGAGGGAACCTGGACTGTGCTGTCGACACCCTGCGGTTTGGGGTTGGCGATGCCCACTGAATGGCGATCATAAGACTTGGGAATGGTCGTATCCGAGTTGATCAGTCTGAGGATGAGCAAACTGGTCATTTGCGCTCGATGGTGACGGGATGTAGTAGCCCGCTCCACGACATCCTCCAGAGGTGCTGAGCTCTCCCTCGATCGGTAGAGTTAGACGGCAACAGTCTACGGCAGTACCTCCAGACTGGCGCTCTCCCTCCCTTTTTTGTTGACTGGATAGAGTTGATAAACGTTTCACCTATGGCTCGTACAATCTACCATGTCAAACGTGTATAATTTAGTTTCCACTCAAAAAAAATACCCCACTGGTCCCATTACCTCATCGTGGTGTGGAGCTTACTGGATGGTGAATTCTAACAAGATCGAAACTGGGGTCAAGCTGCCACCACTTACATGCTGCCTCACCAAGGAAAAAATTCTCACCTCGGGTTCGTCACTGTCGTACTCTGCATTCTTCTCCAGGATTTCTGGATTTCTCTGAGAGCGACGTTATGCTGGATGGCCCCGTCCGCACTGGGAGAAGCTTTCTTAGTGCATTAACACACTGTGACCCAAGAGTCTTGGGCCAAGACAGCTGATAGTATCAGCTAGGCTGATTGTATGCCGTAGTAATTTTTGGCAGTATTTGCTAGTAGCATTGTTGTGAGAGGGCGATTGGCTTCTAGCCCAGAATAATATTTAAATCAGCTTGAATTGAATGGAATTGAATTGAACTGAATTGAATTGCGTTCATGGGAAACAGAGGTCTCAGTTGTTGTGTTGTGTCATAGTAACCTAATAATCTGCTCAGTCAATGCCCTCCAAAACCTCTGTCGACCTTGCGAGACAGAGACGCTACGAACGATTCAATAAGCAGATTATTATGTGCTCCACAATCGGTGGGTGGTCATCACGTTCACTCACGATCGACCAACTCCAAGAAGCAGTCCGCATCTTTGATCCTTCGTACGGCACCACTCCGGGGTCACGGCTGACTCGCTATCGAGTTGATAAAATCAAACAAGAAACCTTTCAAGAGGAGTTGCAATCCGTAATATTCAGGCTGGGAGTTACTCTCGATAGAAAGCCCATTTCGGAAGATCCTCTCGTCGAATCGCGAATAGCCGACTGAGTCGCAACATGCCTTGAGCAGGTAACCAACGAGACTGCAGTAGAAGTAAGACTAAATAGGACTCCCGTTTTTATAATGTGCGATGGGTGGACGCCTCCGTTTCGTCGGACGCCAATGTTGGCTACGTGCCTCGCATTCGTGAAAGACGGCGAGACAAGGATCGTACCATGGCGAGGCCGCGCACTCAAAACCAGTGAGCGCGAAGAGGCCGAGTTCTGCGCTTCGTTCCTCATCGGAGAGTGTATCGAAGCTCTACGTGAGTGTAAGTAAGGCCTTTATTGTAAGGCAGACGAAAAGTCACGTTTAATTTCGCCCTGGATATGCGGTGGAAATACGGCAGTTACCAGAAAACACTGTGAACAACTATTGTGAACGCAATCCTATAGCTAACCATTCTAGCATCCTATAGCTAGGATGAGTTTAACGATTGAACTTCACCTGATTATGGAACGATCGAGTTATTGGACAATCCGTGTTGAATATAAGTGGTATTGGTGGAGTGGTTAGTTGTGTAGTATTCCATGGAGATCACCCGAGTTCGATTCCTATGAACGATACTTTTAGATTCGATCGATATCTCTGGCATCATAACCGATAATGCTGCCAACATGGCTGGCTGCAAAGATATCGTTACAAGGAGGATACATACAGCGAACCGCGGTAACCATGGACATTCATCAAGCATGAGACTCACGGATAAAATATCATGCATTCATGGTGGGTGTCTAGCCCATCAGAATGCCTTGTTGGCGAGAAAAAGCCTAAAAAGCTATTGACGAGAACTGAGCCGAAAGGAGGTGGTGAAGTGAGAGTCGGCCAGTTTTCAAGTTGGGTTGATCTGATCAACCTGGTACGGAAGTTGCTGAGTATATCATACATTGAGAGGGAATATAAGGCAACACCTTATATTTCGTAAGTTGTCACCCTATATTCCCTCTGTATACAGGTGTTGAAAGGGCGCAAGATACCCGAGGTAGCCGAGACCAGGTGGGCAAGCGGCATTATAAGCTTAACTAAGTTGATCGAGAATTGGGGGACGTTGCAAGAGCTTCTGGAGGACCTCAAGCTCAATCATTGGAATAAGTAGGTTCCTTATAAGCCAATCAACTCCTCTTCTTAAACGAGACACGTTAGGTGTGGTTAATAGTGTAGTTATTATTTATTTACATGAGGAGAGTTAGATTAAAAGTATTAGTGAGCATATAGTGTGAAAAAAATATATCATGGATGACGATGTCAGTCTCAAAGTAACTTCATTAGCTCATATCATAGCACACTCAGGCTCTCTAAGAAAGGCAAGAAGTATCACACGGAGCTTTCGATGCACATCTACTCACGAGTTGAGCTACGCGATGCCAAAGAAGCGGTGGATGTGTTGACGCCGTTGTTATACCTGAGCAACGCACTGCAAGAAGACTCGTGCACATACTGGCAAGGCCTCCAGCTGATCAGTTCCATCTATGGCCGCATGCAGGAGGATGATAAACTCACCCAGGAGTCCAAAGGGATGGTTGCGAAGAGGTAATCCCTCGCTATACGATGTGTGGCAGTGCCTCCTCAGACAGAGGGGCTAATGGTCACGACAACCAATGTGATTGTCAGGTTGACAAAAGCCGCTAACGGGTATCTCTGGATTCTGAAATTCGACCCTAGAGGATTCGTAGATGACAGAGAAAGACAGGAGGAGATGTTAGAAGAGTGCTCAAAGGGCATCCGAGATTTCAAGGCGTTAAACGCCTTGAAATCTCGTTCGGGTTCGAAACTCGCCTTCGAAACTTTCGAAACATCGTCACTTTACAAGGCAGCTTAAAGTTTCTCCGCGACTTCTTCCGAGCCGAAGGTGAGGCTAGTTCGCAATGCGAACTTCGCATTGCTCTGCTAGGAACACTGATGTATTTAAAGAAACGATGGATCATCGTTTCTTCAAATACATCAGCCGATGATGCCATCCCAGACATGGTGCAGAGCGATGAGATCAGGTAGTCACTCCGAAAGGAGATTGCCCGGATTCAACACCGACCCAGCCGCCTACTGGAAAGAGCATCGCCACGGCAGTACGATCGCCAATTTCCCCTTCCTGATTTCTCATATGCCGAGCTCGACGGGGCCACTAGAGCGTCTGTTCAGTGGGGGTAAATTTGTGAGCAAGTAAGAGTCCTCATGCAGTTCTCACCGTGTTGAACGACACGGTGCTCTCGGCAGTGTTCTTTCGAACCTTCTCTTGATCCAACCGAGATTGCTTGCTCTTTTTGTTCCCTCCTCCAGAGTAAACCTCGCAACAAGGAGTATATTCCGAGATACATTCATAAAGTGGCGGGCAAGGGACAAGGCTGAGGCAATGGCGAAGGCGAACAATGCTCGGAAGGTGAGTCGAGGATTCGAATCACACTATATTATACTTAAGCGAAATGTTGATTGCGATACCCATCCAGAAAGTTGCGAAGTCCGTAACGGGTGTGCTGAGCACACTCATTATCTGGCTAACAACTTCCTGCTATATAAGACTCACAACAATGTTTTCAGGTCTCTAGCAGAGCCCGAACGATGAAGACTTCGGAACAGAGGCCAACTAGAAGCCCTTCTAGAATGTCTTCCAGCGACGAGCACTACACTGACTCTGACTGATGTGAATTGACTCTCTACACAAGACCGTTGCTCAGAATGAGAAGTAGCAGCCTGCAAAATGAAGGATCGGTTGCAATTCATGCATGGTGGTACAAACCGACATAATCGTGTAAATCTTTGAAGTACAATTTGTACTTCAAAGTACAAATTTGCTTCAAATTAGTATTGCTTTGTACAGTACTTTGTACTGTACAAAGCACCACTACGAATCATTTTACGTAGGGCGCTAATTGTGTAGGGTCCTTTCTTATCTCCGGAAGCCTCGGAGTAGATGACATACTTGATAGGATCGCTATCCATCAATACATATCCCGTGTATTCTCCTGATAATTCTCTGTAAATGCAATCGGCTCCATCTTCGCCGAAGAAACCGATGAATGATTTGTCAAATAAATGTTCGATCGACGCATTTGTTGCCTTTGTTCTCGCCTCGTTTGTGCTGCACAGATCTGTTAATCTCCCGGGTTGGGTAACAACCGGAGCCTAAACAGCGGAGACGATAAACCGATGGGGGCGAGAATAACGACGACGTCGAAGGGACCACATCTCAGCCTTATCTTACGAAAATGGGGAGCGCGGTACCGGTGCGACTCAAACTCATTCCCCTGGTTTGGGTTGGCTTCATATCCAGTCCGGGAGGATCCTGAAAGGGAGACATCATGGGTAACAATGGAGTTCCACCTGTGATATGAAAAACGTAAAAAAGGGAGCCTTCATGTAAAACAGATGAAATTCCAATGTTATAGGACAACTAGGATAGCGACATTGTCGATACCTACCCTGCTAGCTTCATCCTGTTGCTTGCGATCAGTACCACAGCACACACGCGGAGGCAACGAGAGTCTTTGGAGAGCAATGAGACCTCTCTCCGAAGGAGACAGATTCACGTCGATCCCACTTTCTGCCAGTTCCCCAACTTTACCAAGACTCGATGGAGATTCACGCGGAGGATTTAGCATAACACGCCTAATCTAAGCAACTGGAAGTAATCTATGCAATCCATGCTAATCTGAGCTAGTACTACAAATCCGAGCAATGGCTCCAATTCTATGCCAATTGGCTATGCCATGCAACCTGGTTTTGGCGAGATGGTTTAGATGTTATCGACAAGACAAAATGAAAAGTGAAATCGCAGTGCGAATATACGATAAGACCATAGTTGTTAGTCACAGTGTGACTATGCTGTGCTGTCACACTAGCACACCATTTCACACTGTGTCACACTGTGTCTGTCACACTAGTCACCAACGCGATAAGTAGTTTAGCATGAAACATTTAGTGAAGAAGTCGTACAAGTGTCGTACATCAGGAACATGTAACCTACGCTTATAGAATCATAACAGCAATTGATACTCGCTTTCGCTCGTGTCGCTCGCTTCACCGGAATCAACACCAGTACGAGAATCTGACCATCCTAGGGGATCGACCATATCTTCGTTATACGATAAGCTCACAATATCGCGTCGAAATGCAAATTGTATACACGTTAGGAAACAACGTGGGTTCTTACCGGCCTCTTCAGTTCCTTCGATAGGAGAATCATTGCCGAATTGGCTGGCTTGGCTGTATATTGAGCGATATCCATCACTGCTGTCGCACGACTCCTCTTCTTCAGAAGACGATTCGCCATCAGTTAAGGTATCATAGTCATCCTCGCTTGATTCATCAGTTCCAGATAAAAGCGAGGCGATACCTGTCAGGAAACGAACATGGTCAATATCCAGAAGAAATTGTGAGAGACTGATGTTCCCACTTGTTTCGTTGTCCGAGAGGTTTTCTGTATCATCTATTGTCAATTCTTCACCTGAAGAAATGACAGGTTCTTCAGCATTACAGAAGACACCCTAAATGACGAATATTCACTGATTATGTGCCTGTTCAGGGTGCTTTCTATAGTACTACTCACCATGCTGTGGGAGTGAGACAGCGGAGTTATATCGGCCCAAAACACCTGGATTCCGTGCAGTTGCTCGTCCTCGTCTCAAGCCAGCCATGCGCCTATTTTCTGGGATGTACCTATGGGCATCATGTCTGGGATCGGGACACGATGCTGATATTCAGCTCACGGTGGTCGGCTCTTTAGGTAGGTTTCCACCGCATACCCATGCCCGCAGCATGCCCAGTCACGATATTCCTTACATGTACAGCTAGGAGGGATTCTCTGACGGCCGAATTCAGTCCGCTGCTGCTGAGGCGAGACGGTGACGAGATAGTAGCAGAAGTAATGCCTTAAGACTTTTGTCAAAGTCAGATCGCCATCTGCAAGTAAAAAATTCCCGAAGAGATGTCATTTGCAGTCGAACCTTCTTCTAACTCATCCAGCAAAATGCCTCGGAGGAAGAGTTCAGTCCTCTCTCTCATTTCGGCATCGGCATGCTGTCCTGGTGAGCGGTTATTCGGAAGCAGGAAATATCGTGTACCGATAGTACTCTCAATTAAATCAGTGACCACAGTCGTGACCTACAAACAGTTGCCAGAAATGCAATAAGCGTCTTGCAGTTACCTCAGTAACGCATCCTCGTTGATGAAACTTGGTTCCTCGAAGTTTCATATCATTCTGATACTCGACCGCGTTGATAGGCTCGGGTCTCTTAACGTAATGTTGAGAGCTCGAGAGTTTGAGAGACACTATAACCTACACAATTACTATGAGCATGTATAAGACTCGTCCCATAAATTGAAAAGTAGAATCAGACGTGAGGCGTACCTTGCGAATTTTCGCCGCGAAAGCAGATATGTTTAGTCGTTTACTCCCTATTATCCGTGTGTGTGTTTTATGAAAGGACTCGACGATGTTGGTCAAGACCTGACATAACTTATGATAAAACTAGCTAGCATCGAAATGCGACGCTTGTAATGTGCGTTGTAAACAGTGTCCCACGGAGAGGCTTGTTACCTGAGTTCCAACAACACCTTCATTCGTTATGGCTATATTTGGATAGCCATATTGTTCGGTGTCTAGTGTCTTCCTCAAATATTCTCCCCCTTGAGGAGAAATATCACTAACGACCTCGGCCATGGTATCGGAGATCAACTCGTACAAGGCATCGGTGGGAGCTGCATGTAACCAGTACTTATTTCGTTTCACCTAGCAGAGAAACGAATCAACATTCGTATGAGCATCATCTACTCTCACTATATCGAAGCCTTCACCGAGAGTGCCTTTGTTATCTTTCAGGTTCTTAGTCAAGTGGAAGTAGCAACGCGCTGAAAATCGCGAGTCAAACTGCGGTCAATTCAGGGTCCCACCTTACCGTTCCTCACGTTTGGTAAGACTTCACGGCATGCCTTGAGTGCACCTTGATGGGCGTCGTGAACACAGAGGTTCACGACGTCCTCAATAGTTTTCTCACCCAACGTCAAGGCTCTCACCAACGTGTCGAGGTGCGCTAACAGATGATGGTACACGTCGTAGCATTCTTCGTTAATGATAGCCATGAAGAAGGGGACGAATGTATGCCGGTACTGGCGACGAGAAACATCGAACCTGAGGGATAGAGTTGTAGAAGCTCGGTTGGTAGAAAGTTGCTACCATATCCTCGAGGATCCAACCCATGCGACTTTCTGACTCCCACGGATTATCTTGTTCTGCGCATCCATGTACAATGGGAAACCCGAGGGCATGGAGCGTATGAACCAGAGCAATGATGCTAGCATACCTAATCTATAAATTACAACGATTGCCTATCCTTAGCACTTCTCACTCGCGCCGCCGATCACGCAGGCGAAGTTGTCACCCCAGTATCCGCCGTGGAACACGAACTCTCTTGAGGGTATCTTGTCTTCTCTGATGTAGTCGATGATTTCCTGGCTTATACGCGAGTCCTCGAATGCTCCCTCCAGTTCGAAGAAATTGCTGACTGGATACACTGCTATGTCGCGTCTTCGTTGGATTCCAGATATGATATTTTGCACCTAGAATGTATCAGCTCAACTTAAGATTCTCAAACTCCTCGTCTAACAGCAGCTCTAACAGCAGCTCTATCGTACTTGATTCCGTGTGATCCGTCCCGATTCAACGTAGTCAGGAAAATCCTCAACCAAGTTATTAAAAATATCACTCGCCGTCTTCCCCCATCTAGAAGCCTTATCGACGATATAAGATACGATTTTCCGCGGATGACGAGTCCTGTTCCGCTGACGCGGAATCTCACCGTGTTCTCCTGCGAAAACTGAATAGCAGATACAAATTCTACAATCCATTACCTGCACTGAGCACGGTTACATGATCACCATTATTCACCAGCTTCCACTTCTTTTCGCAGGCGAGGTGATCACCACAGTGATAAACTTCGTAGTTATCACGGCGATACGATAACAATGCAACTTCGTCGAGCTGCAGTCGGTAGAGGGCTGTTTTGAAGAAGTTGGCCCCACTAGGGATCCCATAGATCTCGTTCTGTTGCTGCCAGTTAAGCCGACGTGGCATGAGATACGTGCTGATCGGTAAAGCTGTATAGTACAGTGGGGTTATATCCGTATTACGCGTACTATAGTGAATAAAACTAAGTACTATTCCTAGATAGCTTCACCTCTATTCAAACCTACGACCTGTCGATCCACAGTATTTGATTATCTTTTGATTGTACCGCGAGTTACTCGCTGCGAGCAGCTATCACTGTAACAGGGAGAGACTAATGTGCCGTTTTTTGTCCGGTTCACATAGAATCCAGACACTGTCACGAAAGGCATATCAGCCTGTCCCTGTCGTTAGGAGTCGTGGGCTTTTCGCCTACAATGCAACAAATTAGATATGGACCACAGATCAAGCTTGTAGCATTGTGGGAGACGTGATTTTACGTGACGCATGGCAAAGTTTATACACTACGATATGAAGCGGACGCTTACCTGGCAACTTTTTAGAGCTGCTTCAAATACAGCCACCAGAGGCGGATCAAAAGCCCACAGAAGGGTGAATTTCTATTCCTTCGTATTTCCCAAAAAATGTAACAACGCTCACTATAAAACTCCACTTATTCTTTCCCCTCTGTTATTCCCAATTGAAATTCCCCACGGGATCCGCCACTGACAACAGAGCCTGGAAAAGAGCCACTTGACTGATATGACATGAATAACACAACTCGAGCCCAAATCCGAAACACATATCGCATGTTGTTGACGCATCATTTATCATCGCTATTTAATGAGTTCTGCATCGGCTGCATGAGATTTGAAGGGGGAGCGACTATTACCCAATGCCGAGGGTCATGATCAGTCTCAACTCTAAGGCTGGGCGCACCGCGGCAATTTGGTGGTCGATCCAGCCATTGATTAGTTTTCTCAGGACCCAGAGCAACCTTGACTTCCCGTTTCGCCGGAAGGAAGACGGTGCCGAAAAAAACCCCACTCGTCGCGCGCCCGGAGGAATACAGGACAATCCGGACGTTACAGCCCTCCTTATAGCCTGACTGGATTCTGATACCGATCCTCCCATCCCCACATTTTGTCGCTGTGGCATTTAAATCTCGGCTTGCCTTTGTTTTTTTCTTCATGGGAAAGTCTTCAGCCCGCTTGTGAGTTATATCGTTATCCTTTCGCGCCGTCTAGCCAAAAAGAATATCCCGTAGAATCCCAAAAAATAGAACGTTAGATGAGTCAGAGACGAACAGCAGTTGGCTCGAAGGGGTAAATCTTACTTTGCGTCGTTTAGAGACACCACTACCATCATCACCAGGCGAGAGATCAATGTGTGACTGTGAAGATCGAAAGGCGGGCCTATAAGCGGTAAAGGTTCCTATTCTACATCCAAAGAATGATATGCGAGGTCGGATGATAGAGAAGTCATGCTTACACTGTTATCCTGAGATCACTGGTCGCATTTGTACTCTGAGAGGCTTGCAAAGATGGACTGAAATATAAAGTTCATCACGTCCGCCCGGCATTATCAGCGATAATGACTGAGACCTACATCTGATCGACACTAGGCGTGGTATTCTTGCGGCCGGGGACTCCCTCGGATACACTCGATATGCCAATGGCGTTCCCGAGGCAGACAGTGGA